AACTGCCAGCAGACCTGATATTGCCTTTGCAGTTGGAGTTTGTGCTAGATACCAAGCTGATCCCAAAGTCAGTCATATCAATCAAGTGAAGAGAATTTTGAAGTATGTAAGTGGTACTTACAACTATGGATTGATGTATACTCATGGCTGTGAACCAGCTCTGACTGGCTACTGTGATGCTGATTGGGCTGGTAGTGCTGATGATAGAAAAAGCACCTCTGGAGGATGTTTCTTCTTGGGAAGTAATCTGGTTTCCTGGTTCAGCAAGAAACAGAATTGTGTGTCTCTTTCCACTGCTGAAGCTGAATACATTGTAGCTGGTAGTAGCTGCTCTCAAATGATATGGATGAAACAGATGCTCACTGAGTATAATGTCACACAAGATGTTATGACATTGTACTGTGACAATCTGAGTACAATCAACATATCCAAGAATCCCATTCAGCATAGCAGGACCAAACATATTGACATACGACATCACTTTATCAGAGACCTTGTAGAAGAGAAGACAATCAAATTGGAACATGTTGCCACTGAGCTACAGCTGGCTGACATTTTTACCAAGGCTCTGGATGCAAATCAATTTGAAAACTTAAGGGGTAAGCTGGGTATTTGCCAACATGAGGAATTGTAGCAATTAATTTTGCTTAAAACAAGGATCAAAGGAGTTATGCCTGTTCTGATTGGTTTAAAATTGTATTTTCTCATTTCCTACAATTCTTTTAAGAAGTTGAATAGACACTCCCTTGCTTCCTTCCCCTCTCGTCTCCTCATCAAAACCCAGTCTCTCAATCAGAAATTTCTCCTCAGTTGCTGTTGGTCCTCTAAGACTGTCAAAATGTCTCAAACACCATCATCATCCAATACGACTATTTCAACCTCTTCCTCTGATCAAGATTCTAGGACAATCTCTTCTTGTCTGGACTCTGACGTTCTGGAGATCTCTTCTCGTAGAAAAGTGGGAACTAACCCCACCAAGGTCAAAGAGTTGAGAACAAGACATGCAGGAAAGCCCCAAGCTTCTGCCTCTGGTAATCCATCTCATCCTTCTTCTTCAGTTCCCCCTGAAATTGCAAATAGGGAAGGGACAGCCTATGTTAATCAAGCAATAGCAAAAATTGTTTCAAGAATTCTGAACGAGAACCACTCAGTTCCTGGCATTTCTGTTCCTCTGAACCAAGAAAGCTCAAATGCTGAAACAAATCCAGATGTCTCTAAGAATGTTGAGACATCAAACAAAGAGAAGAATGCTGACATTGCTCACAAGAAAAGAAAGAAGCCCGAATCCTCTGGATCTGATGACAGTGCTTGAAGGTTGGTTGTTGTTTGGTGGTGTTGCTGGTTGGTGCTGATATCTGGTGGAGTTTGGAAGTGTATTCAGTTGTTTTCTGCTGCTCTTATTATTTTTGTTTTGGATAACTGTATAATTTTATGAACATGTATCTTTGGCCCTTTTGTGGCTAAAGAGGGGGAGAATATTTTGGTACTTACTTAATTAGTACTTGACATTCTATTTTTCTGCTGTCACTTATTTCTGCTGCTATCTATCTCTGATTGCTTAGGGTCTTTAGCCAAAAATCTGCCAAAGGGGGAGTTTGTAGGTGTTTAGGTATTGGCTTGCATTTTTGGTAAATCCCAAGTGTATGTGTGAATGTCATGACTGATGTCATAACATTCTAGTTCAGTTTGTTCTGACTCATTAGGTACCTTTGAAGAAAAATATTGTAATTCAAGTATTGATGTTTATAAGTGTGTATCTGAGCATTTTGCAAAATGATCACATTTTGCTAAATCAGTAGACAGGTTTTCTCAGATGTCATAACAGATGTTATGACATCCTGTTCTGAACTAACAGGTTTGCAGGTTGGATAAGTCTGAGTCTTTTCAGGAAAATAACTCAGTCTTTCCTGAATAGAATCCTGCGTTTTCTGAGGGGTAACCTAGCTCAACCCTAACCTGGTTAATAAAGTCCTGTGACCTGGTCTTTAGGTCAAACGGAATTAACCCTAGGTTTTTATGGAAACCCTAACTGAAGTTGCAGCTGCTATATATATTCAACAGAGCTGCTGTTTTTCAAGGCATCCCTTTTATTGATCAGAAGATCATTTGTAATCTGTATAGATTTGATTATTGTACTCCAAGCAATTATCATTGTGATAAGTGACTTGGAATAGGTTTCGAATTGTAAGGGCTGTGTAGCACTCAAAGCTTTGAAGCAAGAGTGTTTGAATGTTCCTTGACTAAAGCTGTGAAGCAGAGTCAAGTTAGTTGTGTGCATCACTCAAAGCTGTGAAGCACGAGTGATTGTGTTGCTTGATTAAAAAGCTGTGAAGCTTAATTAAGTGTTTGTTTTTGAAGAGTGTCTTCATCAATTCTTAAGTCAAATTGGTTTATGTATCACTGCTGTGATTGAGGGGGAGTGAGTAGGAACTCAGGTTTAAGTTATATTTAGATTGGAATTGCATTGGGTAGGTCTTAAGTGAAGGAGATAAACTGGTTGGTTTATTCCTGAATTAACATCTCTTATAGTGGATTTCCTCCCTGGCTTGGTAGCCCCCAGAGTAGGTGTTGTTGCACACTGAACTGGGTAAACAATTGACTGTGTTCTTTATTGCTTTTGTATTTACTGTCATATAGTAAGTCAGATACGGTGTCATAACATTGAACGTGACATTGAGTATCTGCAGCCAGAATTTCAATAAATCTATATGTGTTCGGGGTAATTGTCATTGTCTAGTGGTCATGTATGAGAAAGAAGATACATATGTGTTCCCCCTTTACTGACCGGGAAGCCCATTTCAATCACTGACTATGATCCCGACAAACTTAGTGAGGTGGAAAAGGAAGGGGTTGATTTCCTGAAAAAAATTCATATTTTGAGTGTAAAAAAGTGCTAATATATGAGGGAGATCTTATGGTGTTATTAATGTTATGAATGAGGTCTCTTGTTTCTAACCCTTTGTTTTAATTTTTTTTCTAGAGAGAATGAATTCCCTAACTTTTGCAACGTAAAAAGAGATGATGGAGAAAGTGAAAGCTCAAAAGGACAAGGTCGGTCGCCCTAACCATCAACGTGATCTGACGAACTTTCAAATTCAGGGCCCAAGGATATAAAAATAGTCTCATAAGGAAAAATAGTGGAGTTACTCTTTTCACCCTTAAGGGTACTCCCACACTCTAGTGAAAATTGAAAAATATCTCTAGAATGTTGCGATGTATCTCTAGACACACCTAAAATCACACCAACAAAGATATTGTAAACGAGATATCCTTAATATTTCTGAAAAAATTGTCCAAAACTACATCTCCAAAATTTCTATGATACACGCAGAAAATATTGATACGCTAAAGTATTGGTTCAACATTCTCTCGGAACAAATGCTACCGTGCTAGCACAATTGTTACTCGCCTTAATTATGTTTTTGATGTCTGCAAATGTATTATATTTTGATTTTAAATTTTGAAAAGAAAAAAAATTATTTGCTCCTTCGATCTCCAAATAGAATTTGGGATCCTTATTTTGGATCCTATGCAATATCTAAATAAAACAATTTTGGATCCTTATTAGTTTGACATGGCAAAGACAAATTATGATAACAGGAACTCGGTGCTACAATTAGATTAGAAAACAACAGAAACTAAGAGCATGATTATCGGTGTTCTTTGAGAGTTCCTACACATTTATTAAAGAAATTGTGTCAATAATAAATGGATATTTCACTTGTTTTCACGTTCCTAAACTAAAGCACGTCCTCATACTAAAGCACGCTTCTACACTCCAATTAAGTGGGTCATGATAATAAGTTAATAAATAAAATTGCAAGAATGTAGTTGATTTGTTTTAAATGTGAGACTCATTTTAGATTTTTTGATGAGTTACATGGATATTTGAGAATTGTAGATGAGTTGTTTAAAAAATTGAGAAGTGTGAAATAATATAAAAAATTATGTGGATCTCATTTAAAGAACTCAAATGAGTATGATGGATGTGGATACTCTAATAATATAGAATAAAATGATTCTTTTTAAACTCGGTGCTACAATTAGATTAGAAAACACAAGAAACTAATGATATAGAATAAAATAATTCTTTTTGGAACCCGGTTCAATTTTTTTTCTTTCAGAATTTAAAAAGATAATCAAGGCAAGTAACAATTGTTGCTAGCACTTTAGCATTTGTACTGAGAGACATTGTATCAATATTTTATGAAATTTTTGCAAATTCCACTCTAATACTCTACAGAAATGTTTCTTAAGAATTCAAAGACATATTTTTAATTTTTTTAGAACAAAATAAATGTGTTTCACTTACAACATCTTTATTGATGTGATTTTAGGTGCGTCCAAAAATATATTGGAATATATATAAGCTCTAGTGGTGAATTAATGAAGAATTTCTGTTAATTAGAGAGAGATTATTGCATTAATCAAACATTACAACATATAAAGATATTTATACAAGACAAAAAATAAAACAAATTGAAACTAAAACAACTTGATAATAAGCTGAAAATCCAAATACTGGTTCTTAACCAGTTACGCAAAATCCTATAACCCATTAAGCCAGCAAAATAACAAAAAACACAATAGACTGTAACCGATTACAATATCCTGCATAACCGGTTACCAATTTGAAACTGCTTATTTTATTCTTCAGAAGTACTTATTTTTTAAATGGTAACTCCAATTAATTTTTAGAAATGTGTACTATGCTTTTGAAATATTATAAACTCCCAATAAAATACATCTATAGACATATGAAAGTAATGAAATTTTCAAATTTTCAAAGACTGTCTAGCGTATCTTGTCTAGCGTATCTGGTAGAAAGCGCATTCCCCAAAATAGTTTATATCATTTCAATGTCTATTGTCCGCCCACCCCTTGCTCGAGGATTTTGAGTTGTTTAGAATTTTGGACTTAAACAAATGTAATTTTTCTTCCGATTTATGGGAGTATATATCTTTAAATTTACACAAAAAGAAAAAAATTAAACCGAAAACTTAATCAAAAGTCACAACTAGAGCCACAATGAATGCATAATCCATGTTGGGAGCCACACTGACCATGTACTTTTCCCTGCTAAACATAGTACCACGCTGCTTCTCTATCTGCAATAATAACAATATTTATCGAAACTTTTTTTCTTCTTATTTTTATCGAAACTAATTGTATATAAAAACACTAAACCTGAGCAACAAGATTGTCCGAATTGCCAAGGTAAACTTTCCAAGTTAGTTGAGATAAACTTGCTTTGACAGTGAAATCACAAACTTGTGCGCTATTATTTGCCAAAAACACATTTAATTTGGTCCTTAGCTGCATTAACGAGGAACGCTCCCTAGTAAAGACAAGATCATTTGGCTCTTCACTTTCACCTCTATATGCTTTCCATTTATCATCCGCAGCTAGCAGCTGCAAAAACAAAGCAGTGACTATCATAAAAAGTTGATGAATATATTGATGAAGTTATTGATAATTTCTTGTATACCGATCTACGAAGATGGAGAATAGAGTTTCTGTTAGCATCATACAAGAACCGGTGTTGGCGTGGTGTTACAATGGTTACAAGAGGACTTTTAACAGTGAAAATAACGTTGTTGTTGATGTCTGTGACAGTGAAGTTATCTCCCCGAGTCCTCTCCTTTATGATTATCAAATCAATTGGATGTGTAGCTATATAACAGACCAAAAGTAATAGCAAAATTAGAAAGAAAAAAAAAAGTAATTTAATGAAAGTAGAAGGAGTTTAATAAAGTGGTTTTAATAATCACTTAATATGGTTCATGACTTCATACCTGGAGCACGGTATTGATGGCTGATAATGGCGGTTGAAGAGAGTCGTGGGTGATTTGCCATGATGATCCAAGAATATCAAACAAATTATTTCTTAATATTTGTTGAAGTTTTATATGTAGAATGATTGTTCTATAGTTTGACCTGAAGCTTATTTATATACCTAAATTATGGCGGTTGTAGAGAGTCGTGGTTGACTTGCCCCGATGATTCAAGGATACCAAAGATTACGTAACTCAGTTCATTCCCAATAATAATACACGGCCTATGACTTGTCAAATGTTAAGTACCGTACGTTATACGATGAACATGTCAACTTTGTTTCTTTATTGTGCAAGAAAAATGAAGAATGAGACCAACTTTCAATACAAACTGTGTATTTTCCTTGTAAAATATGAATAGATAAGCAATAAAGCATAATTTTTTAAATTTAATGACATTATTCAACCAAAAAATTATGAAAATTTAAATAATAGAGTATAAGTTAATAAGAAAATTACACTCATCGTTTTTTTTTAGTTTTATTAAAATAACACCAACACTATAATTTTTAGTGACACTTTAAAATCATATGATCTTTTACTTGTCATTAGAGTTGTGTCAATAAGTCCAATAATTTAATGCGTGTTGGACTGCAAAATACCTTAAAAAAATACGATCTTATTTTTTTGGTTCAGTCTATCGGATTTATGTTTTTTGTGGGCCTGATCAAGCGGGCTTCGGGCTGTCCATTAAATTTTTTTTGATAAATCTTGGGAAAAAAGATTGAGATAAGATAAGATTGCATAAGTGCGTTTTCAAGTGATAAAGAAAGGTTAAAGATGATGAAGATATATTTTCAAGATGATGTAGTATTTAGTTGCGAGATGAAGAGAAAATTTGATAAGTGTTCTGAGTCGGGCTGGCACTTGGCCCACAGACGGGCAGACCCAATACCAACGCCTCTGCCTATGGCCCAATAGCTTCAGGCCCAAGTCAGATAGTCGTTGGGGATTTCCCTCACGTGCCCATTAAGGAACGTGGTCAACAACATCAACCACCACTTGCCCTCTAAGAATAACGGGTCCACTGCCCCTATATTTTCGGGGCACTTTCCCAGGGAGGGGGCCATGTGCTGGACCCTATTATCCACATAACCCTGACAACCCTTGTTATTGGACCTAAATCACTTGGCCCAATACATGAATCTTGGCTCAACACCGGGGACTATAAATACCCTCTCACATGAGAGGGTCAGGTATTCATTCATTCATTCAATCTCACTTTTATTACTTACACTCTGATTGTCTAGACTCTTACTTTAGCATCAGAGTATCTTGCAAGTACCCCCATTCACTTAAACAACTGCTCAACTTGAAGCTCGTGGGCCTTGACGATCCCTTCTGATCATGTACAATCAATGGCGTCGTCTGTGGAAAACTAGCTTCCCCGTCTTTCATTTACTTAAGACCAAAGAAACTATTTCTCAACCTTCCGATCATAATGGCCGACCAAGCTAACAATGATGACCAAAATGTTCACTTCACCGGCGTTGGCAACAATAATAACACTGACAACAACAACGCTAACACTGGCAACAATAACGCTACCGAGCATGACTTCAGGGACAAGATGACCGCGTCCTCTTCCACCCGTTTGCAACCACGCGACGATACCAACCAACCTCAGCAGAATTATGAGTTTGTTGTGTATCAGGAGATCCTGGTTCCTAGAATGCTGATCCCACGATCAGGGCCTTGTTTGCGGCGATCAACCAAATGAACTACATAATCTTCTCACAGGGCGAACACTTGATGATGCTAGAACAAACCCTCCGTTCCCCCAGAAAACACCGAAGACTTGATTCTCGAACTCCTCCTCCCTGACGACACGAGGACCGCTCCCGATCTCCCCTGCAGAGACACAGACAAGACGATTCTTGAAGCCCTTCTCCCTGCCGAATTGGGCGAGGTCCTGCATTGGAGAAGACCCAACCCGAAGCTATCAAGAAGCGCGGTCACACCCCCCGCGCAAAGAGCGACAATCCCTTGAATGTAAAAGGAACATGGGCGACGAAGAAGAGAAGTCTCGGTTGAGGAATCCCCCCCCCCCCCGTGTCCAAGACTGACACAAAGACCGTTCCTACAACTGGTTCCTCTCTCGTTCCCCAGAAAGAAGCGATGAAGATGAACCCTGTGCTCCGCTGTCCCAAGCTATCATGGAGGGCCCTATTCCTAAAGGGATGGAGAAGCCTCCCCCCCTGAAGGAGTATGACGGTATTGATGACACCGTCGACCATAGCGACCACTTTGAGGCAATGCTCCACTATCACAACATCGGGGGGCCTATTAAATGCAGGTTGTTTCCCACTGTGACACGGTAGCAGAACCGACTGTTAATACTGGTTTGTGTTTTTTATTTACAAATGTCGCAGAAAGCAAGAGTCGCCATCGACTTTTCTTTTATCCAACAAAGGAAAGGGTGAAAAGAACAGAAAAAGACCTTTTTCGAGATTTTCTGAGTAAGGGGGGTAGATTATGGAAAGGGAAGGTGTTAGCACCTTTTTCATCCGTGGTTTTCCACGGGCTCTTAGGTACTTGTTCATTTTTGAAAACTGTTTTCGTGCTTGTGTGTTTTGAAATATTTTTGTTTGCTTTATGATAACTCTTGTATCAGTCCTCAAGAGTGTGATAAAATGTTTTTGAAAAGTATTTTGAAAAGTGTGTAAGTATAAAATGAAATTGGTTTTGAGCAAGTACTTAAGAACCTCTACCTACTCGAAAAAGGATGTTCTTTTCCTCCTTTCCTTTAGATAGTACTATCCTACTATTGGTGAGTAGGTAGCCCTATCATCGGATGTTGAGGAACTATCGAAAGGGACGCTATGGTCATTAAAGACAACAAGTAAGGATATCTTAGCGTTCAAAGGGACTGTCATCATATAGGCAACATCGAGGGACAAGATCATTTACCGAAAGCAACTCCAAGGACAGTAAGGGACTATGATCTTTTATATGACTTTTAGATTGAGGGCCTTTGCTAAGATATCCCGACGTTCGAGGGACATGATCATTTAACGAGGCAACCGAGTGAGGAATACCCTAAGGGTGCAAGTGTGAGAAGTGTGTCTTTTTTCAGTTATATTATCTTTGAAGTTAATGATCTATGATTAATTTGGTTTTATCTTGTCATGCACGCCTAAGTTACTGACAGTTATATACAAGCATACAAAAAAATATAAAAAGCGAGAAACAAAGGGTCATACACTATTACAAGGCTTTGGTGTAGATACATAATAATAGACAAAAGTAGAATGCAAAATTAAAAGTGCGGAAATTTAAGTCCTAAACTATTACAATCGTAAGCAGTTACAATATTATAAAGATGCGATAATAAGATAAACGCGCGAAATAAAGAAGCCTTTAACAACCTAAAAAAGAGTTAAGTAAAAAAAACTTATTTGTTTGATTTTTGTTTTAATTAAGAGAAATAATTAAATTAAATATGCTAAAGTCTATTTTATTTTTAATTAGAGAAAACAGTTAAAATATTTATTAGTTAACTTCAGAAATTAATTATGTAAAAAAAATCTAATCCTAATTTGTGATTTTTTGATTTGCTGTTTATTTTAAGGTGGAAACTCATTAGGAGAAAATAAGAAAACGAAAAGTAAAATACAAAGAGAAAATCCTTTGATCCAGGGAAGAGGATGCCCTTCGATCCAGGAAGGAAACGTCTCCTTCGATCCAGAGGGCTATGGCTCCTTCGATCCAGAAGGCTACGTCTTTCGATCTAGGAAGGCTATGGCTCTTTCGATCCAGGAGGACAACGGGCAACTTCGATCCAGAGAAGGTATCTCCTTTGATCTGGGGATTGGATCTACAAATACTCATTATAAAAAAAGAAAATAAAACAAGATCCTAGGATTGAATCAAAGCCGGTCCTGGATTCGACAGCCTGGCTATTTTTGAAGTTATGGCCAGAACACCCTAACACGGTTTGAAAATGGCATATCATGATTCAAGCGTCATGGGCTTCATGCTAAACTCTTGACCTATTCTGATGATGCCTAGAAAATCATACACACACGTTAAAACATTCAAAAATACGCAGACATTCAAAAATACACAAACATGAGGATTTGGATTTTTAGAAATTTTACCAAACGGGCAATGATGATGATGCTGATCTGGGCTTGAAACTGTATGCTGGAGGGTTGGACGGAGTCCCTGGAAGCCTCAAGGGGATGTTTTAATCCTTGGTCTGGCTTGAGGAGAGTTGGGAATGAGTGTTTAAAGTTTTTTTGATTTGAATGATTTTTTTCTTTTGCAAGTTTGGTAGAGCTTTTTGTGTGGTACATATGCGTGTGTTTGGCTTATTAAAGGGGTGTACTTATAGCATAGAAGAAAGGGAAAATATAATGAAAAGAGAATCCATCCCATAAATCCAAGGTTTAAAGCCATTAAAGCCAATTTGAAAAACTACCAAACTTGGTATTTCATGCCATTTTTTCATGTTCAGTGTAACTAGACATGTTTTTCGAGTGCCATCTTGATGGCCTATTTCGAATGGTCTGGAAGGATTTCTTTGAATGGCCCTTGTCCAAATACCAATCGAAGGGTATTTATTGAAATGTAAATCTAAGAGTCCTTTGATATGCCAATCGAAAGATCGTGTCCATGCCAACCAAAGGACACGGTTAACATGCCTGTCGAAGCTGCTTTGACACAATGCTAAATCGAAGGATCCCTTGCCATGCCAATCGAAAGGCTTGGCCCAGGGTGCCAAACGAAAGGGTCTTTCAGAATGCCAATCGAAGGCCTTGACACAATGCCAATCGAAAGGCTTGTCATGAGGCCAATCGAAAGGCCTTGTGTCCATGTCAATCGAAGGGCTTGGCTATAATGCCAATAGAAACATTTTTGTAATGGAAATCTAAAGGCCTTGTGAAATGCCAATTGAAGGGCATTGTCCATGCCAATCAAAAGGCTCATTCAGAATACCAATCAAAGGGCCTTTCAGAATGCTAATCGAAAGGTACTTAAAACACCACTCAAAAACTTTCTTTTTCCTTAGGCAAGGGT